AAAATGTCGAGTATTTATCAGAGTATAAGGCAACACCTTTAATGAAAAACTTCTTATAGCTTTTCTAATTACCTCGAAAAAAGCCCATAATATTATAAAATTTACATGCTGTAGCTCGTCCAAAGAAACCTATTTCCTAGATATGGGGTCAATTTTGTCTTTCCCTAAATTATGCCTAACTTATGGCACCTACCGCAGTAATTGGTATGCAAATGAAGCACCATTTTTTAATGACACACGAATATCCTACAAAACCTGCACCTTAAGTGGAGGTTTGTCGTTTATCATATCTACCGTGTTTAATCGTAACTGTTAACATATGAAATTGTCCCAGGAAAGAGCCAGAAAGTTTATCCATAGAGCTTGCGACTAATGCTGACCAAATGGATGTAGATATTAGGGCATTTATGGCCAATAAGAATCACGGTTCCACGTTTAACTAAACTGCCTCTCGCCGAAGCATCATATTTGCGTTGCAAGGTTATAAGCTCTTTATTAATAAGTTGCTCCAACTTGGTAACCAAGTCATGAAACATCCTAGCCTCCTCAGGGTTAGCAAGCTGTTTTGCCTGACACATTCTACATTTTTATGCCTATTTCAATGACCCTACATGAGCAGTAATACAAATTTGGATTCAGGGTTTTATATTTTCATTTCTTTATCATTTAAACTGGAAAGGCTCAGCTTGAAGATCTAAAATTAGAATATATCCTCATTGACTCAGCTCCGCTAATGCCGACTTTAGCCAATAAAGCGATTATATCGAATTTATGAGCCTTGCTGATTCAAGGTGAGGAGAAGAAACACATTTTGCCTGCCTCTCTATTCATGACATTCAATATTTACAATATGTATAACAACAAATTTATTTATTTATTTATTTATATATACATATATATATATATATATGCATTTTACCCCTAGAAAATACAATGAGACCTGTCGGTATTTTGGGTGATCCCGCGAATCGGACCATGAATTTTGGAGAAAAAGTAGACAAATTACCGACATACTGTGATCCTCCTAACCCTTGTCCCTTGGGCTACAATCCGGACAGCCTTGCAACACCTTGCGATAAAAACGTGCTAGATACTAAAGAATTCAACCAAAAATGGATATGGGACAAGATGCTTTCAGGCGAGTGCAAATGTGATACAGAGCACATGAAGCACTGCCCTTGGCAGCCAAAAAACAATGTAAAGTCAGACAAAGATAACACTTCGGAAGAGCTAGAAAAGGTACGTCAAAAAAGTATTCATGCCATTCACCTCAAAGTGAGTTACTGTGACATGTTTCATTTAAACTTTATATGTATCTTTTTGAGGGAATGAGTGATGATAGAACTCAATTATGGCAAATGGGGTGACTTCATTAAGTATGTAGTGAAAATACCCGATTTTAAATTCGTCTTTATTATAAAATTCCCCTGTCGAAAAGGAGCTTATGACCGAATACAAAAAAAGCAGGACATGAAATAGAATGGTCTCAAACGAGTAGGTTTGCTGATTATGGTACGTCTGTGTTTAAAAGGAA